GCTTCTATTTTCGCTGTGACGACGTCTTCGGTCTGGAATGGCCTTGGAGGGATCAGTCGAGACAGCGCATCGGCTTGTCCGAATTCGGTCGTCTTGCGGTACTCCAGGTCGAAATCGTATGCGAGTAAAATGAGCTTCCATCGTTGTAACCTGTTCGATGTGTACACAGGTACCATCTTCTTGGGTCCAAAAATGTGTAGCAGCGGCTTGTGATCGGTAAGCAATCTGAACCGTCGTCCGTATATATATACCGATGGAACTTACGAACTGCGAACACCAATGCTAGTCCTTCTTTCTCAATTTGTCCGTAGTTCCGTTCTGCTGCTGTGAGGCTCCTGCTTGCATGGCAAATGGCCTTCTCTGTACCATCCGGCATCTTGTGCAGAATCACAGCACCGATTCCGTAGTCCGACGCATCCGCAGCTACCACTATCTGTAAGCCAGGATCGAAATGTGTGAGGAGTAGATCCGAAGATAAAACCTCCTTGGCACGCTTGAATGCGTTTTGACATTCCTCTGTCCATTCGAACTTTACGTCCTTCTTGAGCAGTGCGTCCAGGGGTGCACGCAGTTGGCGCATCTCTGCTACAAATAATCCATAGTAGTTGATCATTCCGAGGAATGATCGAACATCCGCTATGTTCTTCGGAGCTGGCATCTGTTGAATGACCTCGATCTTCTTTGGGTCCGGCCGTCGTCCGTTCTTGTCGATGGCGCAACCTAAGTAACACATCTCGGGCATCAGAAAGTTGCACTTTTCCAATCTGACGTGGAATCCGTAATCCTTGATTCGCTTGAACAAGGCTTCCAGGTTTTGGCGGTGCTCTTCAAAGCTTCTTCCCGTGATAATGATATCATCGAGATAAGCGGCAACGCCCTCAAGTCCGCTTATCATGGAATCCATAATCTGCTGGAATATACCTGGAGCCGATTTCACTCCGAAAGGTAAGCGGTTGTAGCGATATAATCCCTTGTGCGTATTGATAGTTAGCATCTCCTTCGATGCTTCCTCAACTTCCACCTGCAAATATGCCTCGGCCAAATCGAGCTGAGTGAAGAGCTGGCCTCCATTGAGCTTGGTGAACACATCCTCCGCTGTGAGCAATGGGTGCTGATGCAGCTGCAATGCATCGTTGAGTCCCGTCGAGAAGTCGGCGCATAGACGGATCCTGCCATTCTTCTTCTTGACGGCGACTATTGGAGCGGCCCACTCTGAGTGTTCCACGGCAGAAATAACTCCTTCGGTTACCAGCCGATCAATTTCTGCCTCCAGTTCCGGTGCTGTGGCGTATGGAACTGGTCTCTTCTTCTTGAAGACTGGGACAGCATCCTTCTTCAAGACTAACCTGGCCTTGCTCTTCTTACATTTCCCAAGTTCGCTCTTGAAGACATCCGGATACTTGTTCTTCAAATCAGTGACAACTTCGGCTCGAATTTCTTCTTCGCTAGTCACCTTCCTGCAGTTGTACTTGGTCTTCAACTTCTTGTAGGCTGGCAACTGGATGCACCACTCCAATCCCAGGAGATTCGAGCCTTCGGTGACATAGCATGTTCCTTTTCCATGGACCTTCCGTCCTGTAACTCGATCTTTGACCTTGAAATCAGTTGAAAATTTACCGTCGATCTGCATCGGCGTCCCATCTGCAGTTTTAACAGGCATCACACAGGGTTCTAAAGCCGGAGATCCCATCCTCTTCCAAGCTTTACGAGATATCAGCGTTATATCCGCACCCGTGTCCAACTGGAGCTTGAGAGGACATCCTTTGACTATGACGTCGAGGTAAGTCTGTGCACTCTCGGCGTCGAATGTAACCACATTCTTGCACTGTCCTTTGCGACCAAAGTGTTTTGCACCTGTCCTACGTCGCTTCTTCCGACCAGTGCTGCCAGATTGAGGGCACTCTCTTCTAAAATGTGGTCCTCCGCAGATGAAGCAATTTACCTTTTTCTTCCATACAGCATGGATGTCGCGAGTGCCTTCCATATCCGTGTTATCCACTTTCAAAGCAGTGAAATTTTCGCAATCCGTGACTAGGTCTTCGATTGTTAATGGTGCTTCGTCCCTGTGAGCGTCCAGTCGACGAATCATCCGAAGACGAACTTCCCTGAGTGAGGGATCTTGAAGGCCTGCTACAAATTGCAGCGTCTTCATCGCCGTGTAATCCAGCTCCCTGAGTTGAGCGTCTTCGTCCATCCGCTTGATAGTGTTAGCGTACTCGCGAAATGGTACGCACGTTGGCGTAAGCGGTGGACAGGCTATCCTCAGGCACTCGTACCTCCTCCTAATGAGGGTCTTCTTAGAGGCGAATAGCTTCTGAAGATTCGCGATGGTGGTGTCGAAGTCCAAGTCGTGCGATTGCGCAGGTAAGACCTCATCCGCATACTTCCGGTAGGCTTCTTCGTCCAACTTCATAAGAATCAAGTCTCGCTTCTTGTGATCCGGCAGCTGGGCGTCGCGAATGATAGGCCCATACCTGCCGCACCAGTATGCAAACGTGTTACCTGTCTCCTCGTCCGAGACAAATCGTTGCACTTCCTTGCTCAGCTGATCGTATTGATCTTTGCTGGCATCCTGGACGGCTCCCTGCTTACTGGCTAAGGTGATGATCAGCTCCTTCATCTGCTCCTGTTGGGCGTGCAATTGCGTCTGCTGCTCCTGTTGAAGTTGCAAATGTACTTGCATTTGCTCCTGTAGAGCTTGCGCCTGCATTTGCATTTGCTCCTGCTGAATTCGCATTTGATCGACCATGACCGACAGGACCTTCTCCAAAGAGTCATGGCCATGCCGCTCTTCACTGGCTTTCGGCATGGTAGAACTCTTCGGTGTCGACGAGTTCTTCTGCTAAATCAATTCCTAGCAATGCTTACTTGTCTGGCTGTCCTCGACCAGTAACAGCTTCCTCCCGGCTTGGCTGAGCTGTAGCGCTTCTTCTTGTCCTTGATTGGAAGGCTGCTGGTCCTTGATCGCGCTGCTGGTCCTCGGTCGGTGGAGCTTCTTCTGGTCCTTGGTCGGTGGAGGTCTTCTTGTCCTTGATCCTGATCGCCAGTTGATGTAGAACGCGTTGAGCCGTTGACGATTTATTAGAAAAACACAAGAGTCCCCCCTCTGCCTATCGGCTTACATGCCGAGGGTTCACTAGGAATAACTAGAGAACAACACACACAAATATATCAAGGTGCGGCGGGTACGCCGCAACCACAGAGACCATATCGACCTAGCCTATAGTGAGTGAGCAAGTTCCAATATAAGGGACGGCTCTACAACAACCCCCTTCACAGTTTATGTTTTTGGCGTTCTTAGCTTTGCTCTGCTCGTAATTCTGAGCAAGACGCTCTCAAGCGTAAAGAAAAGAAATGGTTTTTCAAGATTTTTAAGAAGGAGTTATTAATGCAGTTTTTGAAGCTTTTCATCTACATCACAGACAGAAGCAAGATCTGTTGAATGCATGAAGCGTGAGGAACTGACCAAAAACAAGAGTTCGAAAACACAGTTTCTGCCAGAGTTTTAGTTCAGATCAAGAAAATGGGCATTGCGAGGTTGTCATTGTGAAAGTAGAGATCAAGGGCTTCAATATGATATACACTTTGCTGGAATTGGGTTCAGAACAACGAAGCGGTACAGAGCGAAATGCCCCCTGCTCCGCGCTGGGGTCCAGCGAAATAGCCCGCAGCACGTGGAAGAGCCGGAGGGGCATTTGGCTGTGGTCCGTGGAATCTCAAAAAGAAAATTTGCAACAATATATATCATTCTGATCGTCATCGTACGACTATGAGCACTGACAACTTCCAAGGGTCGAAAATCACTCCTTAACAACGTAAGCCTGCATTCTATGAATTTCTGCGTGAGATTTGAGCGCAGTTTCTCGTTTTTAGTGAACCCCAACAGCTTTTTGAAACTTTGGAACTCAGCCGTGAACCAAAAAGAAGTCTGAGAAAGGTTCCTGAGTTCCTGAGAATTTACGCAAAAATCTCGTTTTTAGCACAAGAAAGGCTATGGAAACGCATTATTTCCACTTTACTGGGGTGTTGTTGAGGTATTGATCACTAGATTTGCTTCAATCACATTCATTCTGATTTCATGATCTTAACATCCAGGGCAAAGCCCGGATGACTTCTGTTTTTTTTTTCTGGTGAGGTTGTGTGCTTTTGTCGCTCAAAGTGAAGGTCAGCAGATGGCTCTGTGTAAGGTAAACACAAGGTGTGCGCAATGGCTCCCTTTCTGAGATTTTGAGTTGTCTAGAAGTCGACTGAGTTTCTTTTGTGCGCAAATGCATAATTTCAACATTTTGAATGCATGCCGAATTCTCGCCTGAGAATTCGGCATGCATTCAATGAAGTTCATTTACCCTTACTCAAACACTGTTGTGCCTAAACACCCAGAAACCATGAAGAAGTGCAAGAAAATCAAGATCTTGTTCCCAGGGCAACCTCCTGGAAGTGTGCAATTTGGAACCTTGGGCCAGAAATCTACTTGGCTATATACCTCACCCTTCTTTTCTGAGCATGAAGTTACACTGTCCGTCAGTAGTGTACCCAGGGTTTCCGTTCGAGGGAGGGGGGGGGGAATGTTTGAATGAAGCCGCCCGGCGTTACCCATGCATTTCATGAAATTTTTTTGGGAAGCCTCTTAATATTTCCGCGGACATACAACCTCGAAATGTCGGAATAAAGGGGCGTGGCAGTAGCTAGCACCCGAAGAAATTTTTTTGTACAGGGCTGATTTGAATTTTTAATACATTTTGAGGATTATTTCAGTTATTTACCAGTAAAAACAAGTCATTTGCACATTTTTATAACCCGTGTAAGTAACTTTCAAAAATTTCGCGACCCAGTCTCCAGGGGGCTCCCCCTCCCCTACTCCTCGACTACTTCTCCCTCCTCCTCTCCTCCTTCCTTCCGGCTCGATCTGTATTCTGCCCTCATATCTCTCTGTGGGAGAACTACATACAACTCGAAAAGTAACCATGAGAGGGTTGCTTTCACATAATATTAATTTTCAGGACAAACTGGACCCTGATGCTTTTGTAAGCAGCGACTCGGAAGCAAAAGAATTTTATTCAAATGTGTGTTGCAAGAATATGGAAGAATCATTAGCAATGTTCCAGAATGATGATCTGATTGCTAAACCTGGAATGAAGTTCAGGTACAAATCAGTTTTTTCTACGTTACTGTGTTTGTATTGTTCCAGGATCTGCATTAGAAACCTGTAGTCTGCTTTCAGATAATACAAAGAGCAAAAATGAAGTAGAGGAACAGAATGTAGAAAATTTGATGATTACACCGATTTGATTGAAACACATCAAAAACAGCTCGTCATTGTTCTTTTTTTCTAACGTACTGAGATTTCGGTTAGTAGAAAGCTAGAACTAGATTTCTGTAATCAATGATGGAGTGTTGTTTTGGTTTTGCTAACGTGAAGCAATGGCGAACCCAGAAGTGTTCCGGGGATAACGGGGGTGGGGGGGGGGGGAGGGAGGGGAATTGAAATTTTTTTGTGCCAAAGAGCATGCGGTTAGTCGCACTCGTGAAATTCTTCTCAACTATTTTGAATTCTCATAAAATCTAAAAAATACTTCCATGTATTTAAAAGCAAAATAAGTCATTTATTTGGACCGCCACTGCCTATTTTTTTGGTTGAGATTACAATCTTCCGAACATAATTTTTGTCTTCCATCCCTGTCCAAGGAAATTACTACGACGGTCACCACGGGTACATATTCGGTCGCATTCAATACTAGAACAAGATTTTTGCAGCTACTCGACCTACGGAACTGTTCTTGTGAGTGCTGTACTCGAAAAAGCATCCGGGAAGGAATACAAGAAGTTGCTGGAGGATCTGACTTTCCAGCTAGGATTGAGGCACACGACCTTAGACGAAAACAAAAGAGTGATTCCGGATCGAACAAAGCACGTGACTCAGTACATTTTCTTATGTGTTTGCAATATTCTTGTCCAGGTTTGATGAGTCGTTTTTAGCTATTATGTGCGCAATCGTAAACATATATTGGAGAACTGTCCAGAAGTGGATAATTCTTGCAAATGGGCAGGGGGTGGTCTCCTCTCCGACGTAAATGATTTGCTCACTTTCGCCAATTATATTCTTTACAGGTGAGTACTACATATGAAACTCGGTTAGGCACCATAAAACTTCCAGTGGGTTATCCACCTCACGTCACTCATTCGCGTAGAATCAACTTGGGATGCCTTTGCTAGTTCTTGCAACTGATCCAGATGGTGTGAAACCATTATAAACGATATTGTGATTTTTCGGAAATTGCCAGAAAAGCGAAGACTTGCTTCCTCCAATCTAGGAGACCTATATGTCACTAATAAAATTTTTGCAGTCATCAAGCAGATCCAAATGCGAAAGACGCGTACCTCAGCAAGGAAGTGATCGACATGTTGTGGAATGGCCAAGCTGCTGTCAATGACAGAATACTCGCTGGTCTAGGATGGATGCGTGTGAACAGCGACGACTTTGCTGGAGGCCATCAGAAAAGGTATATATTAGGTCGTCCGAAAGTATTTTCGCTTTTTTCAAACGGTTGCCACAATCGATGCAACAAACCTTTCTAAGAGATCTTGGTAGCGTTCGATGCAGAATTTCATTCTCTTTCTAATGGTTATAAGAATGTTGCAAAACAGTCAATGAGCTTTCAGAAAATAACCAAAGTCTGCGACCCATGCTTTTTGAGATGGTCATGTTTCACGATTTTTTAAAACTTTCATATCAATCCTCAGAAGAAGTTCAAGTAACGATTCGATAGAGTGAACCTCATAGAATACAATGCAACTTTTTTCTCTTTTCCATAGCTTGTCATACATTTTTAATAGAATTTTAACTGATGCTACAAATTTCCATACTTGGACAGCTAAATCCTTGTAGAACATCAAAGGAAGAGCAGCTCGGGTGCTGTTTAATGCAGCATTTTCTCCTCTTTCTAATGGTTGTTTTTTGTTTCCGATTCGTTTAGTTTTCGGGGATAAAATCATCACAATTCATTTATTTAAGGAGCCCCAGGCTGTACCCGGAAAACTCGAAATTTGATATTTCGAATCCGTAAACTCTCATTTGCTTTATAAATTCAATATTAAGTCATATATCATCTTGAAAGCCTGAAATTCCGAGTAACTACTGATGTTTGATGCGATTGTGGCTGAGGTGGGACTGCCAAAATCCGATGGCTTTGTTAGAAAATCTTTTAAAAAATTACGGCGAGCTACGAGAAAGAGAAAAAAGAAGTACTGTATTCTATGAGGTTTACTCTTTCGAATCGTTACTTGAACTCCTTCTGAGGATTGATATGAAAGTTTTAAAAAATCGTGAAACTTGACCATCTCAAAAAGCATGGGTCGCAGATTTTGGTTATTTTCTAAAAGCTCATTGACTGTTTTGCAACATTTTTACAACCATTAGAAAGAGAATGAAATTCTGCATCGAACGCTACCAAGATCTCTTAGAAAGGTTTGTTCCATCGATTGTGGCAACCGTTTGAATAAAGCGAAAATACTTTCGGGACGACCTAATATAATTCAAAGCGAACAATGATTCTGCGACTGTCAAGCCGCGCAAGAGCTGCTGTCTGCCGTAGCATGAATCTGACTTCATACTGTCATTTTGTAAAAAATTAGAATAAGAAAAAAATAAATAGAATAAGAAAAGAAGTCGACATGGCTTTTGCGCCATTTGCGCGCGCAAAAGGCTGGCATTACTGGCGTGGCTACTTGTTCACGCGCAAATTTTACCGCTTTTCACTTTCAGTGCAAGCACACTATATTAAGCGGAAAAACTACTCGACTGTACGTGAACGCTGGCACGCGTACTCTGGAGCCGCCTGAGAAATAGCGTGTGCGTTGCTAGAAGCTTGAAGCATGTTAAATGTTAAAAAAAGTATGTTAAAAAAAAACATGGAATTTGTATCTGGCTGATTACCGAACATAGAAACCGGCATATAGATGCTTCGTATAGGCTAAAAAATATGTGCCCTCCACACACGCCTATAACACCTCTAAACTGCCTTGCTCGTAGTGCCATAGCAGCACATACAAAACGGCCATAAAGCGCCTTTCAAAGCTGTGTGCACCATCTCTTCACTGGCGAATATTGCAGGCACCGCATGGGCGCTGAATCAGTCGTCATTGGCTGGCCCGTAATTCCCTGTGTACTCTATCATTCAGAAAAATCGACCAAACAATCTTTACGGCTCATAAACGAGACATTTCAGCTCGCTTGGAGGGATATGGTACCATACAGGAGCGGGGGTTGGTGCATCATCGGTCCTACTCATCCGCCCGAAGAATTCCGCCGACAACAAACCTCCTTCTGGAGTATGTGTAGCCATGCTGTGCAACCTCCAGGATACTTCATTGCTCAACTTGGCAAAAGAAATCGAAGAAATATTCAGAGATTAACCTATCTATGCTTCACTAACTGCCATGTAGTTCACCCAACAGTCATACTGTGATAGATTCACCGGTGATCGCAGGCAGCTGGGCAGGGAGAAACTGCAGGAAGCAATGGTGAAAAGGACCATGAATGACTCAACTCTCATTATCTCATATTATTGTTAGCTTTTATCGAGATCTCAAAAATCATACGCCAGTTTTCTCCTTCTCCAGCTATGGCGACCAACTTCACTTTGATAGCATACTAACCCTTCATATATAGGTGGTGGTAAGTTTTATGTACGTTTTAGTTTCAATAAACATGCGATGGGCAATTATTTTGATGAGAAAAAGCTACAACTGTATATATTTTACAAGGAAGAAGCAAGTCATTAGATACATATGTACAAGATCAAAAAGCATAAAAGTGAGATAAATTCATAAGTAAAATTCAGTAGTCTCATCTAAATAACTCTTCAAAAGATTTTCTTACGTTAGTTGAGCACAGTGAAATGTTCAAAGTGAAGAGAAAGTGCAGTGTAGTGACAGCATGCACTACGATTAGCCTATTGAATGCAAACAGAAAGATGGTCCGTGCATCCCGAAAACTATTCTCTGTTTATGTGATTTCGATACTCAGAAGCTCCAAACTTTACATGCGGAATGGTTCTCCGCTGCGTTTACCCCGTTTTTAGTATATTTCCATAGGTAAGAGTCAAAAGTATAAAGAAAGCTTGGTATCGGTGATTATAAAGAGTGTCATAGCTGTCATAAAAGTCAGTTCCGGCCGAGATAAATAAGAGATCGATCAAACAAGAGGTGACGTCATCACGCATCAACTTTGTTTTGCTTGTGGTTGGGTTGGCTCCAAAGCAAAGAGTGGAGGAGCAGCACTGAAAAAACAAGAAATGAAACTCATATTGACTCATGCGATTCCTACTCACTTCTCCTTATTTGTGAGTAAGTTTCTGTTGATGACAGGCGGCGTTGTTCGCATGGACGGTGTCACTAACGCAGTACTCGATTGCTAGAGGAAATGAGGTCAAGACTGAAGACACACAAGAAAAACTCAACTTTCGTACCAGAGTTCTTCCCAAAACATTCCTAAAATTAGTGGGCGTTGAAGGAACAAAAGAGCCGAGTGGACTCGTTCTGCCACCGAAAAACGGAGAGGTGTTCGCAAATCCAGGATTGACCGGTGGAGAAACTCCTACGTAACGAGAAGCGACAGCACGTTGTTGATTACGGTACATTTCGATTACTGTAACTGATTTTGTCATATGAGGTCAAAAGCTCGAAAGCAAAGGTGTACATCGAGCATTTCTCGTTCTTTCCGCTTCCATTGTTTGTAAAGTTTCGCGCAACTCTGTATTCTCCTTCATCAGTTCTTCCGCTTTCTTTTGGTATTCAGCAATCGACGCTGGAATGAGCACTTCGCTAATTTGTTCATAATCTGTCAAGTGCCTACTGTCTCACTCAAATCCTACCAGTCATTTCGTCGATAAGCGATTCTTTCATTTTCAGATCTGCAGCCATCTCGTTCCTCTTTTCGTCCAAACTTCTGTCTGGATTACACATACCTGCCTGTAAAACTAAAAAAGTTTCAGCAGAACATATGCCAATCTCACCTTCAAATACTTCGAAATGACATAATTAGCTTTGGTAAGATCTTTTCTCGTTTTGTCCAAAGAGGCGAGCAGATTCTCCTTGTCAATGCGGAGTCGAGCCTTTGTTGCATCAGAATCACGTAACTAAAAATTACATGCAATGGAAGCATCTTGAGACAACTGACATGGAGATATTTTTGAGCAAAAAATCATGAACAACCGCGATTCTACTATACATTGACTCTTTACGATCCCACAACTCATATATTTCGATTTCCTCTATTCTGTTTGTAAATCACGCTTTTTCTCATTCTTTTGCAGAGCTTTTGATCTTTCTTGGTGAGTAGGATACAACAGGCACCAAGGAATTTGCAATGCGGTCTATGATGATATTGAGCCGAAACCGGATAGTATGAATTAGATAAAAATTATGCTCAAACTACGTTGTCTTGCTAGTTCTTCTTTTTCAAACACTCACATGCTTTTTAAGAAATGTACTCGAGAGAAGAGAAAACTATACGCAATTTCAGATTGCCGCAAAGAATTTTGACCAGCGAAAATCAAACTGTGAGCCACAACTTCTAAAATCTTAAGCAGCAACTCTTCTGTCTCCAAGCTCTCGTGCCCCCAATAAAAATGAAACCAAGCATCTGTAAGATAAAGTCGAGTTAAAGACATGATTTTCTTCATACTTCCTGTCAACTTAAGCTTTATTGAGTCAGCTTTTGTTGCAACCAGCTTATGTACCTCCCACGTGATCCCACGCACCCAGAAAAAAATTTTTGGTATGCTTTCCAAAATTTTCGCGGGCCCATAATCCCAAAATCTTAAAAGAAGGGGCGTGGCTATCGCCATGAACAAAATTTTATTTAAAAGGCTAAGTTGAATTTTTGAAAAATTTAAAAAATTGTTTTTATTACTTACAAGTATAAATAAGTCACTTGCACATTTTTATAACTTAAAAGCAGTGTCTCACCAAAATTTAGTTGCCGAGATTTTTGCATATTGCAGCCTGTCGGACCCTGTCTAGCACTGTATGGGCTTAAAAACGCATGAAGTTCCCAAGAACCCTGCTTTCTGGAGGCCCCATGGAAGCAACGCGGACGAGTTGTGCCTTCCAACTTCAGCCTCAGCCACAGTGGCAGCAACAGAGGGGAGGTGGATGCCAAGTGGAGGGACATGTTCAAACGCGTAAGGGGGGGGGGGGGGGGGAAACCGAAGGAGTCGTCCGCGCGTACCAAGTCGCTCTCTGCGTACCACTTTGAGCGAATTTTTCTCAGCGTGGAGAAGGTCAAATTGAGTGGGACTTGTTGCATTGGCCTATTTAGAGGTCCCTATAATAGAATATGTGAAGATCCGCGCGACCTCAACTTTGGTGAGACACTGCCTTTAAGTAAGTATTTTTTCGCTTTTTCGCTTCAAGGATTTTGCGATCCTTTCTCGGGCCCCTGCCCCTCAGTACGCCACTGCGTAATTCATATGGTTATCACCACATCAGAAGCAGAGATATAAAATTTTGTTTCTTTGGGAGATATTTGCAGTACAAAAAGAAATTCTATTGAGAATGATCTCACGCTACTCAACAAAGACTCTACATATGAAATCTCGATTATGTATTGTTTATTGTCTTGCAATGAACTGCCACGTTGTCACTTATTCTTTTTCGTACATTGATCTTACTTCTACATCTCTCACTGTTACCTAAATCATCTACATTTTGCTATCTACAGCACTTAAAGAACATGAACTGCACTCTGAAAATTTATTATAACGCTTGCTTTCCTCCCCAATGATTTCAACACTGTGTGCTAGAAAAATCTCATTTCGATTTGCACATTCATGTGGAAGGTGGACAGGAAATATCCAGTCGCTGACACCGAGTTATCAATCACTAGTGTGATCCAAGAATAAGGCAAACCTAAGAGGTTTTCAAGAATGAAATCAAACTGACCTTGCTAGACAATTCTTCACATTCCTCTTCACACTGACTATAATCTTCTTCGAGCTGTCGGTACCTTCTCTCAGATTCTTCTAATGATTTGTTCAAATCCTCAATCGTGTTCAAAGCAGATTGATGTTCGTCCCTCTCTAACTGCAAAAGTTCTATGCATTTCAGAGTTGAAACCAACTGGACTGACTTCTAGATCCTGCTCAAACTCCTCTTTTTTCAATGTTATGTCCGCCAAGCGCTTTTCGATATCCTTCGCTCTCCGCTCCAGCTCTGTCTTCTCCGACTCTGCCCTATCACAGCGTTCTTGCAGCGCTTTATAATTCTGCTTTAGTTCCTCGCACTCTTCCACATTTTTCTTCTTTTCCATTTTTAATTGGTTAACTTCAGCCTGCATTTACAGTGCATTGAAAATACCTGATTACATTATCAAAGACCAAGAACCTGCAAAGCACGCATATTGTAAGTGACATGGCACAAGAGATCCTTGCCGCGTACGGCTTTCAGCTCTATAGGCATTCGCACTGTGTACATGTCTATCGTATGAACCACTTCCAGGCTAAAAATCAAGAATGGGGTTTAACAGAACCTCGCAGGCATCAGAGCAGTTTGCAGGCGCTTTTGTGCTTATTACAGCTGCTCTTTTTAATGATAAGGTGGTGATTACTGGGGAGAAGGTCAAAAGGCGCTTTTCCTCCGGAGGTCACCAAATCAACAGGCAATCTGGAGCTATGCTACCAATCCAATCAGGCAAAGACCACTTGCTAAATTTGACGGCTTTTGGTGCAAAATTTATTGTTTTCACGAGCTTTGACATGCAACATCTATGTTTCGAATTTATTTCAAGATAGTGAGTTTGAACAGCCCATGTAACGATTTTCTATAATTTCTGAAAAATTTGAAACACTTCTATAACATTAATAAACACTGAAAACGCGCTACTTGGTGTCCATTTGGCAATGAAAATCACGCCTCTTGTACACCCCTAATGCTTGCCATGCTCAATGTAAGTTATCAGACCTTCATTGCCCTGTCGAAAAGTTTAGACTTAAGATAACAACAACCCGAACATCTATATGGTTTCCTAGTCAGACGTCAAACATAAATTCTTTCAGCTAATCCAATCAGGTAGACAACCGAAAATTTGATCAACGCACCATCGATAGACGGAGACCCAGTCCTAGCGCAGCCTCCAGTTGACAAAGGCATAGAAAACCGTTGATCCGGACAGATCTGGGAGCACATCAGTCTCGCAAGATCAATGAAGCGGGCTCCCATGCAAACCATATCCGGACTGCAACTGCAAATTATTGCTTCTAGAGCAAGAAAATCGCTTCAGAATTTCAAACATAGCCCCCTCGATTCACGCTCGTCCTTACCGAAGCTGGCAATCGTGCCGATACGGCCGCTGCTACGCTGCCAGCTGCAACGGCTACCCTGCCGAGCTTTCCTGCTTTGGTAAAGACGCTGTATCGGGTGTGGGATATGTCCCATTAACAGATATCTCCCTCCAAAAGCAATATTTAGCAGTCTTAGGCTATGGCGTGCGTGAAACCCCGCTTCACTAAGATATCGGAGTTGAGGTGTTCTGTCCGAACACTGCCTATAAGGAGCAACTACGTCTGCCTTAAAGGCAGTGTCCCGGCAGATTCGGGTCCTGGGGGTTATACATGTGGTGGGGTTCCTGGTCACCCCATCGACCTCCAGGCGCAGTCCGGCTGGGTGATGTTCCCCCTGGGCCGAGAAAATGGCCCTTGAACCGGCGCGCGCAACCCCAACTGGCGCGCGCTTGGACGGCCTTCCCCGCCTGTTCGGTGCGGGACCCCACCAGCGCTCTCCCCATGATGCATGCTATCCAAAGCAAGAATTACAGGCGGCAGGATCTTCGTCTGAGGACCTCCCATAACTTTCCATTAAAAATCTCGTCCAAGCTGCTTTTCTGGAATTAGGAAAACGCCCCAAAATCGGCCTTTTCAGCCCGTTCAAAGCTCAAATTCGGATTCTACGTGGCGAAAAGGCCTAAAACATGCAAAAAGGTGGAGGTGCAAAATCTGCCGGGACACTGCCTTTAAGCCACCCAAGAGTCCCAATAAAACTGCATAACAGGCTAATTTTTTCAACTACCTCCGCCATCCTTTGAAGGTTTCTAACCCAAAATTCCAATTTCCATCGTCACCCTTACATGGCAAAAATAGGAAGGAGCAACTACTCGTAAATAACTGAAGCAGTTGCTTCAGTTATTTACAAGAATAAACAGGCATTTGAGAATTTTTTAACTCTTTTTATATGCAAGTAACCCTCAAAAATTTTGCGACCCTACTACAAAGAAGAGATCGACTAACTCACGTGCAAAGCGATGAATCTTGACTCAACGTACAAGTCACTTGCACAGGCGAGTTGGCATTTTTCCGTTCACGTAAAAGTCGGACTATTTTCACCGGAAAGTCGTCGAAATCCGCATTAAGATTCCATGATTTTGCAAGAATCTCAAAAAGAAGTACATGACCAAAAGAAGCATAATAATTGAGCTAAGCGGACCTGATATTTCGATCGAGTTATACTCTCTGCATAAAGGAATTCGAACTCATCTGGCCGACTGATCTCTAGTCGATATTCCTGGGATATAACATGCAGAAACAATACTAGAAACAGTGAATAACGGGATCACTCTAACATGGAACAAGTTTGCTCATAATCACTCATTGATGTATCTGATGCTAGCAAGTCAGAAATTATTTGAGAAAAAAAGCATTGCTGGACAGGCTCCCGCTTGCTAATCATTGACTCACTTTCTCAGTGCTGTCACACCTCCTCTCCATGAGTTTCAAAACAACATCAACCATAGATGATCTGCAATATGCACAAATCCTAATTTCCGAGAAATGTAAAAAAACTCCACACATACAAGTATTCGGGGCCATTTCTACTAGGCTGGAGTAGAGTCACAGATAGAGTGCCAATAAACAGCTGATTTGGTCCCTCAGAAGACGTCGCCATAGCCTGGTCAAAGTTTTCACCACTCGGTCGCGACAGAGATTTGAGATAGTAATGGAAGAAACAGCCGCAGTGAAGAGAATATATCGGTTAAGAGTTTATTAAAATCGGATTTATAAGTGTGTGAAAATCTACGATTTGTACTTCTATATGGCAACAAGCGCGGCAACTTGTTTCAACATTTGTCATCACGGGCGTTTAGCTCCATAACCTGAAATACGAAACAGGCTCGTTTAAGCAAACCTTAGATGTCTAATATGCAGTGACAAAAAGACCTTTGAGTGAATTTTCTCAAACTGGTAAGACATATCTGGATACAGAAAAGGTCGATGGTCATTTCTGTGATCATCCGGACTATACTCAGTTGCGTGATAAGCTGCAAGTAATTAGTTTTCTAAGCACAATCCAGTTAACAAATGTCTTACCAGGGGTAGCAACAGTGGTTTTATGTCGATTAACACGGTAGCGCCAGAAGAACTTTTTCACCTTCTCTTCTATCTGCAAGGGCACGTCATCTGCATCATATATTATTCGACTATTTAGACTATTTAGATACCTCGTTATATGAATACTTCGGATACCACATCGAACATAAAGCAAGGAAGGTGCTGTATGGTCCCATACCATGTGGACGTCTTAGCTGTCCGATTACAGAAAGCTCATCGTAAGTCAAACCAATTTCTTCCTGAATATAGAGGGAGATGACGCAGATCAATAATTTTAGAGTATAAGAACTGAGTGCGAAGATTTTTGAATTTGCCATACTGCGCTAATTTAGTCGTACTAAAGATGAAAAATGATTCGCTCAGGTTGCTATTAAAGTGTGTTCGAATGAGGCATAGCGTGGATCGAAACTCGAAAGCGTAAACCCTAAAAATTTTGATATTTCCGGATTATACTGGATGGTGTAATTACAACCAAGCTGAAGTGACCTCTCAAGCGGAGAAATGAAGACGAAAGTGGAGTCTACTAACGAAGGGAAGCTCATCAGTTACTCAAGGATCATGAACAAGAAAAGCCTTGATTCTCGGCAAAGGCAGTTATCGAAGGCAAACTTGCACTACTCTAGGATGTGATTGTACCTGTGCAAGAAAGATAGAGAGAAAGAATTGGAGACAAACCTTTTTTACTCTGACGCAGGTCTTAGTATGTTCAATTACAATGATGCAGTTACGATCAATGCTTGTCTTTGGTTCCCGGAAATAAGAAGAATGTAAAGGAAAAAACCTCATCTGTCTGTGCGACGTCACCATCGACAAGTGGTCTGAGCTCTGCTGTTGGAACTGATTCGATCACTCTATAAGACCATCTCAGTTGTTGTCAGTGGTAGATAACTATGGGTAAGACTTACGCCTTCAAAGATTTCATACCGTAATCATCATGGACCTTGCGCAGAAACTTGCGCAAGTCTGCTTTGCTTATCGATCCGATCGGATTTATATCCGCAGAAGAACAATCGTACTTTGTCATGTAACCTACCAGCCTAAACTCAGCAATTATGATAGATATTTGTAATATCCGTAGGTGATATGTTACGTTTCGTCAACATTGGATGTACCAAGCACAAGAAGACTTCCAGGACGTCCTTTGACTATAAGACATAACTGTGCAAACAAGTAAGCCAAAACCATTCTGATCCGCGCCTGCAGATTTTGCAAAGCTAAGTCTTGTCTGGCATCAGTACTCTGCAAACACAAATGGAAAGTCAGAAGGCAGTACGAGATAATGCTTTTACCTTAAAACTAGGAACGAATCCCAAAGCCATGTTGAAAACATTCAGCGCAGCAGAGACTATTGTGTCGATGAAGATACTAAGTTACCACCTTAAGCTAGTTAACAAACGGATTTGATTCAGCAGGTTTCTGAGTTTTTCAATGGTTCTGGGCCTCCGAGGTGCTGTGTTCGAAATTGTGCTCAGCTTCTTGGAGATATGTAAGATCTATATTGATTCTTAAATTTGTCGCGTTCTTGGCAGTGAAAGAACTGAAAGGAGGGAAAGAGCCGGCCGTCTTTGGCAGAGCGATTGGCTGCCAAGTTATCAGACAGTGCCACAAAGACCAGGTGTGTCTTCACCCATTGGAACCTTACAGCCAATCAGATGGCCGTCCTTACAATCTTCACTGCCAAAACGGCAGGTTTCCGACATTCTCAGAAACTGTAAATCACCATTTCGACACAGCGCACCCACATTGTCCGGAAATGATAAAAACCTCAGAAATGGCCGAGCTTCAGTGAATCATACCTGGAGTGATTGCTGTTAATGTCTTTCGCAAGCCCATCTGCACAAGCCCTGGTTCCAGCAGAAGAATGTTGACTAGCCATGTAACACGTGAAGAGCACCTGATGAAGATGAACTATAGATGCAGCTGGACGCATATGCAAAAAATGCAGAGATACCTTGTTACATAGCGCGGCAGGATCCTCTCCAACATGCTCACCATTCAAATAATATGCGGGATCGTCTCCACCTAGTTATAGTCGTTGAGAGGTAGTCAACAAATCATTGTTTCACATCGAATTACACACGCTCTCCCTTCGATCTACCCTAAAGGCTCGCAGAAGGGCCCCTCCCATAAGATAAATCCGTTTGCAGGTAAGTCCTGACTCATCTGAGTCTTCGAACTTATCTGACAAGATTCAGGGTAGTTATAATGAAAATAAGGACTTATTTGAAGAGACTTATCTGGGTTAAAAGAGCGGACTTATCTGTAAGATTTCAGGGAGTACAAAAATTAAGCGGATAGAGACCTCTATTTTGGACAGTTGAAAGCCTTAGATGTGGCACAAAGTCCATTAGCAAGATAAAATTTGCAAGCAAAATCCCTACAGAAAAGATACCATCCGTCGCCTTCCTGCGCTTGGCTGCGTCACAGACTTTGTTGCACATGAGACGTACCATTGCAGCAACCGATGAACTATCTTGACCACCGGATAACGGTACGAAGTAACCACTCTAGAAAGCAGCTCATAGTGACTATACAAATGGGTTCTGAAACTCCCACCATCTTACTCCTTCTTAAATAGTGCCACAGCCAGGCTGGCGGACCATGGCACAGCTCTTCTGTTGGACTTAATTGTAGCCTCTCAAAGTTATCAATTTCTTTAGTCAGTGGTATTGTCGCGTCACTCAGAGTTAGACTACTATCGAAGATGATTGTGGAGTACTCAGGAAGAAGCGCAGCCTAGAAAAAAAAAGCTTTTGACCATAGCATAAGACCGATACGGTGCACCTCATGATTGCTACTGCTTTTCTTCTGACGGAAACTTAGAGTTTCGTTGAGATTCAAAACCGCCGTAGCCACGCACTTAAATATCTCATTTAAATCTTCTTATATATAAAGCTGAATGTCTGTTTGTCTGTCTGTATGTCTGTCTGTCTGTCTGTCTGTATGTCTGTCTGTACGTATGTTCCGAATAGAAAATTCCATTTCTGAACCGATCCGGACCAAACTTGGCACACATACACTACGGGCCCCGGCGGGTGTCATAGGCTACTTTTCGTCATCGATCGATATCGATTTTATCGATTTTTATCGATTTTTTTGCTGAGTTCACCTACGGGGCTGGTAGTTGGCACAGGGGGGTAATCGGCTCCATGTCAGGAGTCACGCCGCGCGCCGCGCCGCTTCACCGCGCACGTCGCGTCTAAATTTTGTACCCCATTAAACTGCCCGGTGCTAAAGTGGCACGGCGCCAGTTTAGGGGGTGGGGGGTGGGGGCAGATACATGGTTCGTGCTATAAGTAAGACTGCGCCAGGAGGCTGGCTTCTGTTTTGCTGACATCGCTTGAGGCATCGCTTCGCGAAAAATTCGCGCCGACCGTGACTCCTGACCGTTCCCCGTAATTGAGCATGGGGATTCCGAATACAATATTGGTTTTCAGGATTATCGATTACTTTTATCGATTTTATCGATTTTTTTGCAAAGTTTGAGCTACGGGGCTGGGAGTTGGCACAGGGGGGTAATCGAGCATGGGGATTCCGAATACAATATTGGTTTTCAGGATTATCGATTACTTTTATCGATTTTATCGATTTTTTGCAAAGTTTGAGCTACGGGGCTGGGAGTTGGCACAGGGGGGGGGGTAATCGAGCATGCTGATTACGAACACAATATTAGTTTTCAAGATCGTCCATTACTTTTATCGATTTTATCGTTTTTTTGAAAATTTGAGCTACGGGGCTGGGAGTTGGCACAGGGGGGTAATCGAGCATGCTGATTATGAACACAATATTAGTTTTCAAGATCGTCCATTACTTTTATCGATTTTATCGTTTTTTTGAAAATTTGAGCTAGGGGGCTGGGAGTTGGCACAGGGGTGTAATCGAGCATGCTGATCACCCCCCTTGGGAGGGGGGGGGTGATCAGCATGCTCGATCCCCTAGCTCAAATTTTCAAAAAAACGATAAAATCGATAAAAGTAATGGACGATCTTGAAAACTAATATTGTGTTCGTAATCAGCATGCTCGATTACCCCCCTGTGCAAACTCCCAGCCCCGCAGGTCAAACTTTACAAAAAATCGATAAAATCAATAAAAGTAATCGATAATTCTGAAAACTAATATTGTATTCGGAATCCCCATGCTCACTCCCCCCCCCCCTGTGCCAACTCCTAGCCCTGTAGGTGAACTCTGCAAAAAAATCGATAAAAATCGGTAAAATCGACATCGATCGATAACGAAAAGTGGACTGTGACACCCGCCGGGGCCCGAAGTGTATGTGTGCCAAGTTTGGTCCGGATACGGCGGAGCCGGGTAAGCCAGCTAGTGCTTTCAATAATCTTTCTTGCGTTTGTTTTGCTTATTTTCCTTCTTTATCGTCCAGCGAAGAATTTTTTATTCCAAAAGTGAAGGTGGTCACCCTGTACCAGCTCAAAAGTGAAGGTAGGTGGAGAATCGGCTCCCATTATCGCAACTCTGATTAGCCCCCTAAGCAAAGTTTCAGCGAAATCCATGATTTTAGCTTCTTACTGTACCCACCCTTAACCCAGAAAACGGCACTATTGCGCGAAATGACTACGATATTTATCAACAGCGGCTCGAATAACCTCCATATACCGAGTTTGAGCAAGATCCATCACAAAAAAATTTTGGGGCCGGATAGCCGAATAGCGTCATCAGTTTTTAGAATTATCCGTTACTTTTGTCGATCTTATTGATTTTTTTTGCAAAGTTTGAGCTATGGGAGAGGGCTGTTGAGGAAGGTAGGTGAATGCTGATTACCAACACAGCGGGAATAGGGAATTGCATGTAGAAGTGGGCATAGGGAAAGGTTGTATAGGGATAGGAATGGAACCTTTATCGTTTTTGACAGAGCCTGGCGGAGCCGGGTAAGCCAGTTAGTTACCTATATTACATTAATAATACACGTACCGTGTCTTCGATATCAAACTGATTAATTTGGGCAAACAATTTCCCATTCTGCGCTATTGTAGATGCACCATCGTAATAGACGCGATCCCCATCGCAACCTCTATGATTACTGTACATATAGATGCCACCATTCTATAAAAAAATAAGCAATTTTGACAGCCAATCAAAGGCAGAGAAATACCTTTTGGCTGCCACCCAAAATTAGCTGGTTAACGCGGTAGTTAGATTTGCCCAGTACATGATGACTGCCACTTCCATTACAGACAATATCCACTCCACGTAAACCAAAATCCATGTAACGTCTATAATAGTGTAGATCATAGAGTCCGATGGTAGAAAGAGCAATCATAACTGCGCGAAGTTTGAAGATCGAAAAACATCAAAGCCTCAAACAACATTTTGAACAATAACGAAAGTATACATCCAATGACCACCAAAAACGAGGTGAGTATTGTGAGATCCCAGCAGTATGAGCAACGCTACACTAGCGCCGTACACGCTAAAGAATTAGTAAGCTTACGAATGTGCCGACCACAGTTCTTCGCAGATCTCAAACCCAATTGTTACACCATCCTTAGATCGAAGTACACCATCACCAAATGGAACCGTAGCCTACAATACATACCAGTATTTTATTTGAGAAGTAGTCAAGCATGTGTAACTGCGTCCCATCGGAATTAACCGACAATCAAGTGATAATTTCAAGCTCCTTTCAACCTGAATAAACACTCACAATATGGCTATAAGCTAACCTGATCGAAACCAAATGCTTTGTTCAGCTCAAAGTCGATTGTTTGAAAAGGCTTTGACCATCTAACAAACCACCGGCTCTCTCTGTAGACATCGTCATCGCACAACATCATTTTTGGCCTGATCATCAGAATCTTCCTAAACAAAAGCTAAAAATAAGTGTTTGTAAACACAAGGATTACGGGAATACGTTTCCGCAACTTTTTCCAAGTTTTTGCCCTCCTCAATCAAAGAACGCACATAACACTGCGAATGAACAACCCGAATAGCATTCGATGCACATCTCTTCACTCCTGTGAGTTCAGAGTTTGGGTCACATTTCGATACCAGAATAACTCGTAATTCGCGGACTTATGATGAGCTGTCACTTTGTCACTCTCTAAAATCTTTCATGCAACAACGTTCAAGAGCAGTAAGCCAAGCAACTTAGCACACAAAGGTGCTGCTGATGCAAAAGTAAGCCACTTCATAAACAAGTGAAAGTTCCTTGCAAAAAGTCTGTGCCACCCTGATACTTATCGTTAGAGAAAAAAGAATTTTGGCGATTACCTTTTCAAGCAATTTTGGGCCATACACTGCTCTTAGCGGCATCCATTTTGGCTATCTCGGTCCAAGTGATTACGAAATACAGTTGTCATAGTAGCTATGCTTTGAAAAACGCATTCATTTGCGCTTGAATCGTGACTGATTGTGAGAAGCGAATGCAATGAGATTCAACAAGTTCGAGTGTTTGAATTTTTCCCGTTCCAAACATCGTTAAGAGGAAAAGGAGCTTTCAAATTGTAAGTCCGTGTCAGTCGGGTGCTCCTTTTCCTGCAAACGGAGCTTCGCGTCACGTTCGCGCGCGTATGACTTGTGCACTCAAAAGGTCCGCATGCAGGGTCCTTGCGCATGCGTAGTTTTCACGCGAAAGGGAGTACTTAACTGACACTGAATGTATGCAAAATCAGTTTTGCAAAAAAAAAACTGATGGCAAAAATTTATGCGTAAGTGTGTTCTAAGGAACAGGCACTGATTTCGCACCAACGCGACAATACTGCCACACTTCTAAAATATTGATATTTCCTGTTTGATATTAGCGATTATTTCAATACTCTTCAATTCACCGTGTGTTTTAAATAATTTTCGAAATGACTATGAACTGCAGCAAAGCCCAAACAAGTAGATCTTTGCCTCTAAAGATGCGGAATGTCATCCCAAAACCTATGAAATAAGCAAACTCCGGCTATCAATATGCTAACGATAAGTAGCATTCCGAAAAATAGATGCTTCATGATTAGGTGAGAAAGAGTTGGAAATACACCATTATCGGGTGGGAGGGAGTTGGAAGCATTATATCTATTTTTGGCACCGACATGCTGACATCTGCATAAAATGCGACTCTAAGCATCCTAAGCTGAAAGAATGTTTGCGCTTCGTTGTCAAACAGCTCATATGAACTATATCACGTCCTACACTCAGATTGAGACTAAAATCAAATTTCGATTCAAATGATTTGAGACTGATTCTTAAAATGCATGTGAGACAACCACACCTCGTGCTGTACTCGTTCAACTGGTTTTGCTAGAAAACACCAGACGGCCATAAAAAAGTCTAAAGCAATGAACCTTTTTTCGGGCGATGTGCAAACCTTACTTGCCACTCTGCAGAATATACATCCCACCAACTGTGAATTAATACAAAATGAAAGTGCAATGATTGAGAAGTTTATCTACCCGTTCAGCATTGCTACCAAACAGTTGTAGAGAAGCATACGGTGTCGGACAGGCATCCCAGTCACAATCAAGAGATCGGGCCACTATAAAAAGACAAAAATCAGCGGCATGCCAGAGGCTAAAACAGCATACTTGTTTGGAATTTTCCACTATTTCTTTCAAAATTTCCCATGAGTGAACTTCCGTATCAATTTCATAAAAGTGGTCTGAACAACCATATCCTGGAATCTCCAGCTCTGGCCCAAGCCTTAATCGAGCACCTCGGCGATTTGCTTCCTCACAAGCTTAAAGTACTGTCTTCCACTTCAGCATGTCCAACTGCTTTGATGTCAACAATTTCTACTATAAAACAACTGACTTTGCAAAATGCGCTCGCGGTTCCCCTTGAAATCGAGAGCCCAGTTGTTCACAGTACAAACGGCCAAACGCACATTTCTACTCCATGGCGAAGACATCGCTTAGAAGCTTAATGCTTTTTGAGTTGGAGAAGAAGTGTGAACTATATAAATAATGGAGAGTACATTTTCTTCATGTAAGAATTTGAGATCCCAGAAGATCATGTTTTATTAGAATGCTCGACAATAATAAATAAATAAAACAATTACATGAGAACACCAGTTGATAACACAAGTATGAAAGCAAGAGATTTCTAATGCTATGTAGTAAAAAGTCGCGCAACCTTTATGAATCCCGTGAACAAGGTTAACGAATGCGTATGACAGTTCATGTAGTACTAGTACAGGGACATCGAGAGTCTAAAGCCTAAAAAGAAGATGAAGTGGTGAGTGGAGAGCTACATGGTTAGATCAGAACTCCCAGAACTCCCAGACTCAATAGATCCACTCAAAACATGCGATTATGATAATTATCACAATTGATCAGGAGAATGATTCTACCCACCAGATAACAAACAGGTACAACAGACTGAAACAGTGAAGTCAACAATAAGTTACAAAAACGAAAGCATGCATGAAACGATAAATCAGATTTCAATGTCTTAGCAAATATCTCGATTATGGGATAAAGATGAATCAGTTGGTCTTCTTTTTACCCTTTTTGACATTTCCATCAGCTTCCTCACTCTGCTCGTTCTCCTAAAGTTGCACAATGGTTACATAAAAACTTTGGAACAGGCGCAACTAACAGAAACGGATTCCTCAGACTTGGTCTTTTTCCCCTTTGGCTGAGGTGCAAGCCGCTTAGTGTCCGACTTCGTCTTACGGCTGGCGCTCTCCCTGGAAAAGTAACAGGCAATGACAAAACTGTGATTAGAAATATGTAGAAACTGATAATTTGAAGACTAACAAAAAAAAGCCTGAATTCAAAGAAAAACATTTGATAGTCTGATAAGAGGAAATTAAGCGTCATAAAAAGAAAACACACTCAAACGTCATAAAAAGAAAACATACTTGAATCGTCCGACATGGAAGCTAGTGAAGTTCCACAGCTGGAACAACTGCAAGGATAGAACAGCTAGCAGACAGTTCAGACTGAAAGTTAATGCTGAGTGGAACAATGAATATGCCAACAAGAACACTAACCGAACGTAAGTTGTGTTGTAATTACCGCTGGCTATATCTATGTAAGCCGTCTCTGACTGGCGCAAACCATACCAGAATGTCATGACCGTCAATACGGATGACGCCAAACGAACTACAAGAAAAACGATGTTCCATAGAGTAAACCTGAAAAAACTAGCGATTTTCACTGTAATCCTCTAAATTATCATATTGCCAGGACGCAAATATCAGCGATTGCAACTGAAACATCATCTGCTACAATGTGACAGATGTATGCGAAAAGCAGCGATAATGCCAACAAAGTGTTTGACAATGCATTCCAAAAATTATAGATCTCAAGATGTAATAGAAATCATGATTCCAGAAATTTACACCAAGCACTCTTTTTAACGGCTATTAGGAGCGTATGGCAAAAGAAGGATGCGAGATGAGCAAGACATCAAGTAAGTAGTCTTACCCATTCTTGGCAATCTCTTTTTTCTCGAGGAAATGAATGAGGCGCGAAAAATGAAAAATCGTCTGCGAGGCATACTCAAGAGCCAGAAGTACAACGGCGAATCGCATAAAACTAAAACAGTAGTTGGTTACACGATAATACACAGCTCAAAAAATGAGCAACTCACTTCATGATGTAAGCAGCTCCAATGAAACATATATGTAACAACGAAAGAATTGTCCTCTGCCGCATTTCGTCTGATTTCATTTTTTGAAAGTAAAACTCCGGAAATTGATGGACCCAGTAAGATATCTGCGAAAACGTATTCTCAACATTAACAGAGAACTACTACACCATACGAGATTTCGGGAAGTTGCAAATAAAACTTATCGCGCATACTTGTAAAATAGCGAAAATCTTCATATTGAGATTCATCCACCTATGCTCCTCAGGATAGCCCAGCCAGATCCTGTACTAAATAGCATGACAAAAGCATAGCCAAGAAAATGTTATACCTTTTCACATCAGTATAGTTTTGCATGAAATCTGTAATGACGTAAGCTGCATGACAAGCGGAGTATAATGCAAATAGGGACATGTGTCCGGATTCAGTGAATTTGAAGGTTTTGACTTTGGATAGCCGAGCCTAAAACAGTTTTGGAATCATTAAACAATGAAGAAAACATAAGACCAAGTCTAATCAAGAGCTCACCCTTCTTTGCAGCTTGTCTAGGATATATTCCTGAATAACAGCATGCACAACTATCCAAGCAACAGCATAGAAGAGGATGGTGAGAACGTCAGCTGGACCATTTCGGTACAGAGTCAGACTCATGGGCCCTAAAACCTTATGGCGAGTAAACACATACAGAAGAACTGATGAGAAGTATTACCAAGTTCCGAGGTTACATTTACGGTTTCATTGTATTGTGGAGCAACGAATACCGAACACATAGAGGCTGTGAGCTGCAAAAAAAAACATCTTCACATTACTAATGCAAGCGACTTTCTACCAAATCAACGTAGGATTAGACAACAATAAAAACCGAGCTCATGCTAAATGGCTTAATATCGCGGTGATCATACTCGAAACAGGTTCTTTTCTTCAACCTTTTCATAAGCCATTATCTATTTAGCACCAAAGTGAGCGCGTTTACTCCCGTTCCCGACCACGAGAACAATTTTTTGAGAAGTTTGCACTCTTCGCCTTGACTACCACTCTTAGATATTATTGAGAAAAGAATCTACTTCTCGCATTTTTCTAAAAAAAATACACAATGGCTGACTGCTGACTGGCAAGGATACTGTTGCCGTATCGGCAGAGATATTTTGACAGCTCGCGGTTTATAGCTAAAATAACATCATACGTTACGCTTCTTATATAAAGATTTTTGAATATGAAGCCACTTCAATTTGTGAGAAGGATTCATACCCAGCAAGAAAAATGGGACTATAAGAAAGAAACAGAAATGAACCACTAAGATAGAGGATTCTGCGGTTTATTATTGATATCTAGAGCATTGAAAATTACGTAAGCAATATCAAAATAGGGGCATAGACGAAGTATACGCTGCCAGGGCCTGGTACCAGCTGGCACGGGGCAAGCTGGATATCGTTTTTGGGACAAAAAGCAGAGGAGATATCGTTTTTGTCGACATTGCGACCTTTTTTAGTCGACGTTTCGTTTTTTAAGGGTTTTTTAGGTTCAGGGTTTAGGGTCAAGGGGGACTTCGTTTTGAAAATTTCATGGTGCCAGCTCGTACCGAGCCCTGTACGCTGCGTTGGCCAAATTTTAACTACATCAGAAATCCTATTTTCAGATAATGGCCACGAACCCGACATCAAGATGTATAAGAGTGCCGCCTGTGATACTCTAGACACCTGTATCCATAGACAGATACCAATATTCGTAATTCACCAATACTTGTAAGTCGCTTCAGCACTAAATGCGCTTGACGATGGTGCGAAAGTTTAAAAATAAGAGCGAACAACACTTGGTCACTGTAACCCACGAAACTGTTATAATGGGCAATACAGTTTTCGACATTAGATTCTGTATGAGCGCCGCTTTTGCTACGTAATGGAAGGTGAAGTTCGTGACAAAAAGAAAATGCTGCACATATCTTGACGTACTACAAAGTTAGAAGAGTAAAAATTACGAAAAATTCGAAGTATAAGCACCGAATGAGAAATATAAAACAAAACTGAGCTGACAATGACTAACCGGAAACATGAGTCCGACGATGAAGACCATAAGAACGCAGCTCATTATGTCACCATGATTTTGTATGACAAATTCATGGCTAAAAATAGGAGGAGTAGACTTCTTGTGTCGTCCTCCAGCGGCCGTACGACGTGTCTCAACACCCATCCTGCAAGATTCGGCATAAAGAAAGATATAAACTACGCTGTATACATCACGAAGGAAGAAAAAGAGATTTCACAGTGTAACACTCGAAACATGAGATTCCATGGGATATGCGAGATCAGTGAAGAAAATATCTGCTCAATACCAAGAGAACACCTCAACACCACCAATTAAAAGTGCTACAGATCGTCGTGCACATCGCGGACGCAGCAGCCGGATCCGAGGTGGTCTCGGCGCGCTTTGAGGCTGCAGTCCGAAGACGGTGGTTTGGCGCGCAGCGAAGGTCGATTGAATTCCTAGCAACAATTTACTAACACACAAGCTTTGTCATTGTGGTGCTTATCATGACTCTAAAACATAAACACACAAACGCATGAAGAGCGCAGAAGCAGTGCGGTGCAGTATGGTTGGTGAAGTGACAAAATCGAAGCAACGCAAAACCCTCTGATATTCGGACCATGTCTTTAATGGAGTCGAGATAGCGCCATGACTCCATTCCCCAAGTGCCGCCGGAAATGCGCGCCGGCACGCACTGCGTGAGTACGAAAAGTGATGCGCTTGAAGGCTTTTCCGTACGGTATACAAGTAGAGGTCAGAGGTCCTACACCTAAGCAAAGGAAATGCGCTGGGTCCGTTAGGGGAACAAACTCCGTCAGTTTGAGCCTGTCTTCGCTGGCAACTGGCCCTTTTGCGATACTGCTGCATGTCATTGGAGGACCAGTAGTCCGCGGAGGCGGATGAAACTGACTGAGTTCGTTCCCCTACCAGGCTGGGTCCATACTGATCCGTAAGTTCTGGAATTTGAGCGCTGTGCTGGAGCTGTTCCGCAACCTACGGAATGGTATGACCCAGCCTAATTTCCGAACACTCCACCGCAGCGCACATGGAGCGCACTTGGAGCACCTTGCCGGGAACTTACGGATCTATATGAACCAGCACCTGAAACCGTTTGATTATAATAACTCGAACCATCATCTAGCTGTCTTCATTATCCTTAGGACACAGCGACAATCCAAGAACCTCGCTCATGGAGACGTTCTGACCGAGAAATGCATTCCTGTGGAACTCCAGCCAATTCTTAAAGGCAGCGTCCAGGCAGATCTGGGCCTATGGGGCTTTTACGTGCAAAGTACTTTTAAGGCCCTAACTAAGGCATTGCCCAAGCGGCAGCTCAGGTAGTGCTGTAATGGCTGAGATATTCCCCTCGAAACTGGCCCCCGCGAACGTATTCGCATAGTTCATGGCAGTTTCGCGCCAGGATCCACGCTTTGCGCCATGAATCCATGCGAAACACGGTCGCGGTGTCCAGTTTCGAGGGGAATATCCCAGCCATCACAGCACTACCTGAGCTGCCGCTTGGGCAGTGCCTTAGTTAGGGCCCCAAAAGTACTTTCCACGTAAAAGCCCCATAGGTCCAGATCTGCCTGGACGCTGCCTTTAGGGTTGTTTGTACCCTCAGGCCTAGGGCATAGTGGTCACGACCGTCGCTCTGCGATTTCTGTGAAACTTCATTTGTACGCGCTCGTTGCATGTCAACGTGTTTGCCACGGCGGTTGTGGTAATCGCCCTGCGCGACGAATCGCAGACGCTTGTTGGCTAGGGCATAGTTCTTCAGCGATAATCGCCGCGATTTCAGCAAAACTCAGCGATGTCGCGTCGCGTCTGCTGCCCAGGCGACATGGCGATATCGCTGAGGTGCGAAGGAGATTTGAAAACTCAAGATCTCCTTCGCAAGGCTTGACACACCATGTGTGTCAAGCGGTCGTCAATTTGTTAAAATACATCTGAAACGAACCAATTAGATTAATGCTACTATTTTGTGTTAACCCACTCCGGAAGTTTTCTTTTGTACTGGATTCAAACACAACCTCTACTGTTTTTTAGCATTCTATCGATGAGCGATACTGTAGGTGTACTGTAGATGGAATTGTGTGATTTTATCCAAAAAATGTTGACTGGTCCGTGAAACGCTTTGGTCGTCAATGTGTTAAAGTTGCTAACCGCACAGATGCAAAAAAAATTCTTTTCGATATTAGTGCATTGCACAGAACGGTTCTATTTGTTATTTTAACTGTTTTAGCAGTGCTGTGCTTCAATTTTTGATGGCATTTAGAAATTCTTGTCAAAGCACTGTAGAGCCCCACATCATTATTCCTACTTTTAGTCCTTTGTAATATCTTGTTTCGTCAGAAACTGTAAACAATGTCCTTATTGTAGCTGTTAGCTTTCAAAAACATTCCCAGAGGAGAAATCCCTAAAGACTTGTAAGCTCCTGAGAAACTGAAGGATGGGCAAATTGTGCGAATTTTTTGCACTTATGTTTCATCACTGGCATGAGCAAGCCTATACGCTAGATATGAAGAAGTAGTATCCACGGAAACATCTACACATTTTACACGCATCTAGTTGCATAGTTTGCAAAGACCTGGGATCGCGTACCATGTCCATGTTTGTGCGATGAGCGATTTCGTCGTCGCGATTTCGTCGCTCAAACCACCGATTAGCCCGGCGATGAAATCGCGACGAAGTCGCGATTACTATGCCCGTGGCCTCGGGGAGTTCACGCGACTTGATCGTCGCGATTGATCTCGACAAGACAACTGTTACGAGGTCATTGCACGCCGATCAGCTTGCATTTCGGTTGTGATACTTTTCCAGCTCGAAATTTTTGAATGTAAAATGAAAATGAATGGAAATCGCGGCGATTCAATCGCGACGATTCAATCGCGACGATTCAATCGCGACGATCAAATCGCGTGAACTCTGTCCGAGCCTAATAAGAATGATGTGTGGTATGCAGAATACTTTGAGGTAAATTCTACCGCAAGGTATTTTATGAACGATGAATCGATAAATAATAGGCCCTTTGAGTTACAGTTTGTAGATATCGTCGTCTCCCCGGCGTACGTTGGGCGGAGCTTTTGCGGACATTTCAACACATTGGTGAACTTGTCAAGTCTCTACTTCAAAGCATGGTTCTTTGTACTCTCTAACCTGCTACGTTTATATGCTGTTGTCACACGTGGCAGGGTTGGTAGCGAGAGATCACAAAAAACAATGCCTTGCATTAAAGGGTTAACAAGTTCACCAACATGATCAGATGTCTGCAATTGCTCCACCCAACGTACACCGGGGAGACGACGATACATCTACAAGGCAAACTCTCTAACCTCAGGAAGAGGCAATGTTAAATACCTTTAGAGCTACAAGGTTCAGAAAATGCTTTTTTTGTGAAGTGGCTTACTTCACCGTAATGTTTTTATCAGATTTTCCTTACAAGCTTGTAAGCGAAATCTCGCGCTGTTTTCATTTCAAAGTTCTACGAGCGAACTGCGACAAACCATTCATCTTTCTTCACGGTATCCATCTGCCCCTCGCGACTGCCTGAGTCTGAATTCAAAATTTTCATTCGCGTCCCTGTGCATCTCCGTCTTTTCGTTTTTTTTTTTTCATCTAGCATGTTTTGTATTTCGAAGAGTTTAGCATTCGCAAGTAATCTGAAACTCACAAGGGAACGATCAGAAGCCGAAGTGACCGATCCAAGCAAGCTGCTTACCATTCGTTGCAGCATTCAACGCTGAGCTTCGGATCTATACTACATATCGTCGATTCGTTGGCCGTACGGACTGTTCAACCGCTGCGGATCCTCCAAAGGCCTGCCGCTTCTTCTCCAGGCGCGCCCGTCGGAGGTAATTATCACTTCGCGCCTACCTCGCGCCTACGTTGCACCTATCTCGCACATTCCTGCATTGCTTCCCCTCCGGACAACCTCCTTGTTTCTCCTAACATAATCAAGTCATAAGCGACGAGTAAATGATTGCCAAAAAAATAACGAAAATGCTGTGGAAAAAAGTGCTTCTGATCACGCTCATTGAAGATGTGGTAGGTGAGAGTGAATAAAAGCTGATAATGTTTTCTAAGGCCTAAGGCATACTTCACGCGATTCCAGTCGCTGCGCGATCTGGCACTGCAGCGACCCTTCGTAACCGGTCGTGGGGAACGGTCAGGAGTCACGGTCGGCGCGAATTTTTCGCGAAGCGATGCCGCAAGCGATGTCAGCAAAACAAAAGCCAGCACTCCTGGCGCAGTCTTGCTTATGACACGAGCCATGTATCTGCCCCCACCCCCACCCCCCTAGACTGGCGCCGTGCCACTTTAGCACCGGGCAGTTTTGTGGGGTACAAAATTTAGACGCGACGTTGGCGGCGAAGCGGCGCGGCGCGCGGCGTGACTCCTGACATGGAGCCACCGGTCGTTAGCGCGCTTTGCATGGGTCAGATTCAAAGCTTTTGCTATAACTTATGATAGTTACGCCCCTATGCACTTAGGACCCACACACGATCGATATTTAAATATCTTGCAAACTGCCAAGTCGCGTGGATGTAGCGATTTGACAAATTCGCGCGAGGTATGCCTTAGGCCTAAGAGGATTTTTGAAAACGTGCAGCCCCGGAAAACAGTTCGGAGTTATCATTCTTCGTATATTAGCTCTCCATTTGAACTACAATTGATCTTATGAGCATTGAGTCTTTAGAAGGGTATGTTATTCAAGAAAATCAGATTTGGAGCAAAATTTGCCATCCATCATTCTTGTTCGGTCTTAATGCTATGTTTGTCAATTTTTTCTTTTGTGCGCATCTTCTCTGGAGGAAACTGATCACAAATTTCTTTAATCTGTACTTTTTCATGCGTAATTTGCAGAAGAGCCTTGTAAATTGATCTGTCAAGTCTAACGAGTTAATTACTCTCGGGACTTGATCCCTCTACCCTGTTGTATTACATCTTAACAGAAGAGTTCTTGACTAGATGATTTTATCATTATAGCATATATATAAAAATGGGGGACATAATTGGGGAGGGGACCACCGAGCACCCGGGGAGTGCCAGCTCATCTGGAGATTCCGGGCACCGCGCAGTTGGCGTGGAGACTGTCGGACCATCTAATTACTCTGCGTCTCGACATGTCCATTCCTTAGCAAAGCTCGTCCTCGAGCTTTCATTTT